TGTACTAGTTGCAAGAACAGTAGAAGAATTACAAAGATTACTTACAGACATAAATATTGCTTGCAACAATTATGGTATAAATATCAATATTAAAAAAACCAAGTATATGGTCTTCAGTAAAAACATGACACAACCAGCGTATATTAGTATAAACTGCACTCAAGTTGAAAAAGTATTAAGTTACAAATACTTGGGAACTTTAATAAACGAAACTGGAGACCAAAACAGTGAAATAAAAAGACGTATCGAAATTTCCAGGGCCATCTTCATAAAGATGAGAAAATTCTTCTGCAACAGAAATATAAGCATCCATCTACGATTAAGAATGCTGAGAGGCTATGTATTTAACACGCTATTATACGGTGTAGAGGCCTGGACTCTCAAACAGAACAACATGAAAAATATTGAAAGTTTCGAGATGTGGTGCTACCGTCGAATGCTGAAGATTAGTTGGGTTGAAAGAATAACAAACTGTGAAGTAATACGAAGAATAGGAAAAGGCCCAGAGATTTTGTTAACGCTAAAGCGAGGAAAACTCAAATATTTTGGTCACCTGATGAGTGGACATAAATACGCATTACTTCAAAATATAATGCAGGGAAAAATAGAAGGAAAACGGAATCCAGGCCATAGAAGAATGTCATGGTTGCGGAATTTGAGAGAGTGGTTTGGCTGCACCACTAATGAACTCTTTAGGACAGCCGTAAACAAGGTCAGAATAGCCTTGATGATTTCCAATCTCCGATAGGAGTGGCACAAAAAGAAGAAGATCATTACCCATTCTTCTCAACACCTTGACATTCGTGACTCTATCTACCCAACTTATTCTTAATATCGTTCTGTAGTCCTTTTTAACTCGAAGGCTTCCAATTTGTCCGAAACATCTTTCTTTAAAATCCAAGCCTCCAACCCATAGAATAATACGGAGAACACGTAGCATCTCAGAAGTCTTATCTTGAAACAAAATTGAAATGTCTCTGCTGCACAGTACTTTTTTCAGTTGTTGAAAGAATTTCTTGCTTGTCCTATTCTTTCCTTAATCTCTTCTATGTACTTATTATTTTCATTACTTATTGTACCCAGATATTTATATTTTTTAACTTTTTTAATTTGTTCTCTATGTATTGTTATGGTTTCTTGGCGCTCTTGGGCTTTTGTAATAACCATAAATTGTGTCTTTTTTGTGTTTAGGGAGAGTCCGTTTTCTTCACTGACTTCTACCACTCTGTCAACCATTTGTTGTAAATCCTCAAGATATTCCGCTAATAAAATAGTGTTGTCGGCAAACCTATCTCTGCTATCACAACTATCTCTCTTATATCCCATGCCAGTAAGATAATGCTACATATAATCAATGAGAGACTGAAAACGTTCCTTCAAAGAGAAATTCCACAAGAGCAAACTGGATTTACCAAAGGTAGAGGCACTCGAGAACACCTGCTGAATATAAGACAAATAATCGAGAAATCTAGGGAATTCAACATCCCACTATACATCTGTTTTATAGATTACCGTAAAGCGTTCGACAGGGTTAAGTGGAGACACTTATGGCGAATACTAAAGGAAGTAGGCGTACCACAACATCTAATTACGCTTATAACCGAACTATATGAACACACTACTGGATCAGTTAAAGTACTTGACACACTTTCGAACGAATTTCATCCAGAACGGGCTGTCAGACAAGGATGTATACTATCTCCAAAATTATTCAACATACATGGGAAATATATTATGCGAAGAGCACTTGAAGGATGGGAAAAGGGCATCTCAATAAAAGGTCATAAACTAAACAACCTACGTTTCGCAGATGACACAGCCCTTCTTGCAAATAGTCAAGCAGAGCTAATTGAACTTATACGACTGATCGAAAACGAAAGTCAAATATTTGGTCTGCAATTAAACATATCAAAGACAAAGATCATGATAGTGGATAGACTATACAACAATCATCCACACATAACCACAATTGACCGGTTCGAGGTTGTGAGCTCATACTTATATCTGGGATCATTAATCACAAACACAGGGTCATTACAAGAAGAGCTTAAACGTAGATGTGATCTAGTAAAAGTTGCCACAGCAAAAATGACCAAAATATGGAAGACTGTCAAATTTCAAGAGCGATAAAGATGAGGTTGATCAACTGCTTAATATTCCCAATACTGACCTACGGATGTGAATCTTGGACTCTGAGACGTTCGGAGAGAAGAAAAATAGACGCCACTGACATGTTCTGTTGGAGACGAATGTTACGAATTCCTTGGACCGACCGTAGAACAAATAATTCAATTTTAAGAGAGCTAAAAGTTAGCCAACTTTTAGCTCTCTAGTAATGTCCATCTCCAACAATTAAAATATTTTGGGCATGTTATGAGAGCAAACACAGAAAACATGAAAAAACTCATAATATAAGGAAATGTAGAAGGCCGAAGATCACGAGGAAGATCCCCAACAAGAGAGATCTTTTGGTAATTTAGATGTACCATTTCCACAGTTGTATATTTTAACATATTCCACTATTGGTCAAATGGCTTAAGTAATGCTTTGACATTTTCAATTTTATAGTTTTCCTATTTTCTGTAAGTTTGAACCTTATATTAAGTATATACTTAACCAGTGGTATAACACTTCAGTTTGCATACTTTGTTTTTAACTCGGATTTGAATTTTTAAGCATTTCAATTTTATTTTAATTTTTTCTTTTCTATAGTATTGATAGTGCTTGTTAGACCTTTTTAGTGTAGTCACCAACCACCCTCAAACACATCGCACGTTTAGTCTTTACTTTCATACTCTGTGTAATACTTCCTATTATCACATACGATTCTCAAATTTGGACGTTTACAAAGCAAAACACGGAAAAAATAGCAAAGATTCAAAGAGCCATGGAAAGGCAAATGCAAACATCAGGCTATCAAACAAGAAAAGAAATACTTGGGTCCGCAACAAAACAAAAGTGACCCATGTTTCAACGCAGATAGCAAAACTTCACACTGGAGACCGTATACTTACAAACGAAAAATGGAAAGGCCACACATGAGATGGTCAAATGAATTGAAGAAACACGCAGGCTCGAAGTGGATGCAAACTGCCTACAATATAGATAGACTCTGTGTCCACTACATTTGCCTCCAAACCAACCTTCAAGTTATTACTGACATGTTTGAATGTGAGATCTGCATTACACGGTCTATAATTTAGTAATTAACATAATTTCATATTTCGTCAGTTGGCTTTTTCTATATTAATGGTTATTTGGACTTTTGATCAATGTTCCGTTTATCATTTCATAGTTTTACTATGTTCAGAATTTTTTAAAATGTACAGATCACTATAATTGTGACTGCCTATCTAAGTTGTCAGATGTAAGATGTAACTAAAATAATTCTGTTAAGGGCATATGAGTAAAATGTTGCCTGTAAAAATGTTTACTGCGTTTTAAATGTAATAATTTTTTTCGAATTTTAAGAAAACTAATAAGTATTTTTGAAAAATTTAAACGCAGAATAAATTATTACTGAGGGCCGAAAGTCCCTTAGAATAACCGAAAAGTTTTTTTTAAATAAGATATTTGAAATTAAAACTCATACTATATTTCCTTTTTTCTTTTCACCCCTGTAACTTATTAAAATAAACATTATAGAAGCTTTCAGGGACTTTCCGCCCTCAGTAATAACGTAATCTTTCATTCTGCATTAGAATTTTTTAAATATACTAATAAGTTTTCTTAGGATCAAAAAAAAAAATAAAAACATTTATATCACATTGAATATTTTTACCAACGGCGACATTTTGCGCCTATGCCCTTAAGACCAGGAGCCATTATGTCTTCTGTCATTGCCCACAATGTAGAATCAAAATAATTTTTTAATTGATTTTCCTTTGTTAAGTGTAAGTTTTTGTCAAATTGTAGTTAATGTGTATAACATTTATTGACGTGCTGGATAGACAACATTTTTGACGAAGTCTAAAACGTTATATACAAAAAGTAATTAACCGTCAACTTCGAGTTTTTTCGAAGTTAACTACGTTTCTCTTACTTAAAATATTGTGCTAGATATTTGTCTTTTATTTGTAAAATTTATATATTCAAGCATTCAACCATATATTTTTTGAATTACTTTTTGTTATCCTGTTCTTGTATTGCCGTAAGTGTTGGCCACTCACATGGTTATTCATGATAGTTGAGTCGTTGGGTGACCCCAATTATTCCTTAATCAGATCATATCTGACCCATCCATCGTATTGGTGGACGTCCTAAGTGCCTCCTCCGTGTCCTACCATCATACCATGTGAATGCTGACAGCTGACAGCTGACAGATTGCAGATTGCTAACAGCGTCTACTCTATCAATTAACCGTTAAATCCCTTATGGAGTGTCGGCATTGTCGTCAGCATACCAAAAATTATTTATGAAAATCCCGTTTTTAATATTCCATTTACAATGTTCTCGAAAGCTTTACTAAAGAAAAACGAAGAGCAAATCTTGAGTAATGTCGGCAATAAAACACATACCTGATAAACATTTTGTAGTGTGCTAAATTGCTAAGTTCTTGTTTTTCCTCTTCAATAATGCTTTTCTACTTCCGTTGGTTTTAAGAGATCTATGAGTTTTCCTATTTAGAATAGCTCGAAACAGAGACAGTTTCGCCATGTTAATCGCCAACGTCAAGGGGACTTGATAGGGCACGTTAAGAAGAAGATGAGTTTTCCTGGGGTTACTCTGTCAAATGCCTTTTTAAAGTTCAAGAAACATGTAAAAACGTTACATAAAAACGTTACGTAAAAACATAGCGGGTTCTTCGAAGTGCCTCTGTTAAAGCAAAGGCCATTTCAAAAGCCAAACTAAAATTCTTCAATACACCCCATGCCATAATTATATATTTTTCTTAAAGACACTTTTTTTAACGAGTGTTTCGACATGGTTTTTAATACACAAATCGGTTACCCCGAAACTTTAAAAATTCGATTAAAGTTTTATTTTATTAATTTTTTTAGAAAAATGCCGAAGAAGCCCAAAAGGCTTTCAAAGAGAAGGGACTTGGAGGTTGGATCGCTACCGTACAAAAAAACGTCCAGGTAACTATTAACTTAACGTATTGTTAGAGTGCATTAAATATTTGATTAGTTATAAAGTTTACCAATGCCATTAGGAAATAGAATGTCTTACTTAACTCAAAATTTAATACAAGCTATTTCGTAAACCTTTTTGTTCTAAGTTTTATGTTGGTTTTCTAACCCAATATACTTTAAGTAATATTAAATCCTTTATATATCATATAAAGTATAAGTGTAACTTTTGGGCAATAATATATATTAAGACAAATCGAAATGCAAAGAATATATTATGAACTTTTTTCGTATACCTAAGTATTTTGTTTTTCAAAGTAATATTGTTTATAAATAGTGGTCTGATAAACTCAAATCATGTAATTTCAATAAAATACTTTCAAAATTACACTAACAATGTCAGAAATGCCTCTTAAACATTAATTAGATAACAAAACATAATTCATTTTTAGGCAGTTCCTCCCTCATATAAGTAATTTAGTGCAGAACCTTAAAACCTGTGTATTGTCTTGTGAGTGTTAATTAATTTCTGTTTGTCCCATGAATGTTTTTTAATATATTTAAAAGCTCTTATTTACCATTATTTTTTCTCTACTAAAAAGAGTTTTACCCCGAAAGACTGGAAAACATTAGTAAGACTTAAAAGTGAATAGACTTTTATTGAAGACTAGAATTATTTCCCGGTATTTGTAGATATAATATTTTAAAAGCCTTTGTTTTTGTTTCCCTGGAAAGGTCAAAAGCCGCCAGGTACCTTGTTATTATATTTAGAAAGTAAGTCACACAAAACCGTTATCATTTTCAAAGAAAGTTGTTTACAAGCGATGCTTGGGTTTTTCTGAGAGGCGAAATATAGAAATTTTCTGATTGGTTAGCGAGTTTGGAATGGGAAGAGAGAGTGAATGTTTTGAAAGATTGGAGTAAAAAGATTATTATGTTATGGTTATCGAAAAGAAGCAGTTGAAGTTTTGTGTAGCCAATTTAGAAGCAAGTGCCAGTAGTTTAATAATTAGAAGTGAGGGGGTGAAAGGTAGAACGAGAGATAGATCAAAGCTGAGAAGTCAAATACCTCCTGGATTCTATATAAGTCCAAGTGAAAGATTGTTAGTATATGAAAGAGAGGAGAGAATTTTTGAGTTTGTTGAACGCACATTTATGTGCTCTAAACTTAGTCATCTATGTTAAATGTTATGAAGTGGGTATGAAGTAATACTGCACCTTAATTGCATTGGAAGTGCATTGGTAATAGCAATTTTTTTATAAGGTACATGATAAAAATACAGAAATAAAGAAATACATACTCTTATAGTTTTCACTGATCTGGAGAAAGCATATGATCCAGTTTTTAGAGGGATTCTGAGATAAGAACTTAATAAGAAAGGATATTAGTTTATTCGATTGGTAATACTAGCGTGAGTGGAAGAAAGAAGAGGACTAGGGAGACGATGCACGTTCTGGTTGAAATATTCGGAATGAACACAGTGGAATGGAAAAACAAAAATGGAACTCAAAAATGCTAAAGACAGAGAAAAATGGGCCGTGATCACCGTCAATGTCCTTAAAGGATGAGACACGTGAAGAAAAAGAAGAAGATACGTGAATATTGTGAGACATATATGAGGAAGTAACAACTAGTGTTATGAAAGGTGAAATGGGTTATATATTATCATTAGTATTGGATCAGATATCAGCGGAACAACCGAAAAATATTCCATCTTAAGTAAAAAGATTTAAAACTTAGTAGGGTAAAATCAGAGTAGGTATTTGAAATTTGTATTTATTGATGGGGTCACGACAAATAAAATGATATCTTTGGATGGTGAAATAATTGTGAAAACTAATGTCTTTAAGTACTTAGGAGCGATAGTATACAGTAATGGGATAGTAGATAGAGATGCATGCAGTAGAATTAAGGTAAGATGAATGAAGTGGAAGAAAAAGGGCGGTTGTGTTGTGTGACAGAAATATTCTAATAAAACTAAAAGGAATATTCTATAGAGCTGCTGTAGAATCAGCTGCTGGAAGTATTTTTGAAAAGACCAAAGAAAATGTGGGGAGACGCTTAGGCAGAAAATATCGGTAAAGAGGGAGGATTAATATAAAATATGACGTATGATAGAAACTTTTGAAGAAATGTAATCAAGATAGCCAATCCCCGCATAGGGATAACGTTAAAGAGAATGATGATCTGTTTTTCGGCGAGATGATGGGTCATAAAAAGGAAAAAAATTAGAAACATTAAAAATCTTTGTCAATGGACTGGCGTAAAAGCAGATGAAATATTACATGTCGTGCAAGATGAAGAACGATATCGGTAAATTGTCATGGAGGTTACCCATGACTAATACTTGGGCACGGTACTCAAAGAAGAAGAAGAAATTTTCCTGAAAAAGAAAGATCAATTATTTTTTTAAATAAAAAGTCTTTTCTTGTTGACTGTTATTAATTAATTAAAATCATACTTGAGTTAAACTTGACTCGGAATTATGTACAATTAGATAAAATTTTATTTATGGACATAAAATCATTTTACAAAAGAAACCGCAGATTTTACACGTTAAAACACTACGATTTAAGCAAACTTGCTTTAATAAAATCTTAATATTAAAAAAGATACAGGGTGTTAAAGTGGAAATGTAAAATTTTATTTTTCGCTATAACTTTCATGTTTGTGAACATTTTTGTATAAAAATTTACAGCTGGGTACTACTGAATATCAGAAATTATATTTTGATGCATACTTTGATATAGCTAATAGAGGGCGCCACATATGCCACATACGTGGCATACATTTGCATTTAACTTTTTTGTTCTTGAAGTTACCGGTATTTTTGATAAAAAATATTAAAGATATATTATTTTAACAAAAAAAAGTTATACTTGTTAATAACTTCAGAGCTCAACAGTTTTCGAGATAATCGCATTTTACAAATCAACTGCATAATTCTGGTTTAACGCAATTACTAGAGGCAATAAAAGAAAAATAGAAATAAACATCAATATTTCAGAATCTTGTTATAAAATACCTTTAATAAAGTTAATAGTTAACGAAATATGAAACAAAATAAATATATCAGCAGGATAATTAATAATAGGATTTGATAAAATAACAGAATAATTGGATTTTACATCAAACATTTTACGTTCTGTATTTAATTAAAGTCATAATGAAAACATTTTATTTACAAACCAGATTAAGAACTAGTTGAACTAAATAACATTAAACTTTTTGTCAAAGTAAGTGTTCGATATGTCCACCATTTTCTTTAATTCATTTGTCAATACATTCCATAAAATATCGTCTCATATTAAATAGCATCATTGGTTCTAAAGAAACTGCTGCAGTATTTATTATGGTTGTTTTAAGTATAATAATAAGTAATTTTTTGAAATTTTTATAAATTAAATAATTATATCATTATCCCACCACAAGAATATGACTACCACGAACAACATAACGCTCAGGAAAGTTGTATTTAAATACTGTCTCACTCCGCTTTCTCTATAATGCAATGGTGTACCACCTTTTAGAAACCACATATTTCGTCTTAAGTTTGATGAAAATTCTTCCAATAAATAAATAAAATCATTTTATAAAAAATGTAAATAAATATAACCATTCAAATTAAAAGGTAATTCGCATATCTCTAAAACATCATTCAAAATTCATATTTAAAATGCATGTCCTATAGTTTAGAACCATTGGTAAGGCGAAATATGTGGTTTCTACAAGATGGTACACCATTACATTACAGAGAAAGCGGAGTGAGACAGTATTTAAATACAACTTTCCTGAACGTTGGATTGTTCGTGGTAGTCATATTCTTGTGGTAAGATATTAATATAATTATTTAATTCATAAAAATTTTAAAAAAAATCTTATTATTCCACTTATAACACTTATAACAAATACTGCAGCATTGCAGCAATGATTCTATTTAATATGAGACGATATTTTATGGAATGTATTGACAAATCAATTAAAGAAAATGGTGGACATATTGAACACTTTGAGAAAAAGTTTAATGTTATTTAGTTTTACTATTTCTTAATTTGGTTTGTAAATAAAATGTTTTGATTATGACTTTAATGTAATACAAAACGTAAAATGTTTGATGTAAAATCCAATTATTCTGTTATTTATCAAATCCTATTATTTAATCTTACTGATATATTTATTTTATTTAATAATTCGTTAACTATTAGCTTTATTAAAGGTATTTTATATTAAAATTCGGAAGTATTATTGTTTTTTTTTTTAATTTTCTTTCGTTGCCTGGAGTAATTGCGATACATCAGAATTATCTAGTTGATTTCTAAAATGCGAGTATATCGAAAACTATTGAGTTTTGAAGATATTAATAAGTATACATTTTTTTGTTAAAATAATGTATCTTTAATATGTTTTATTAAAAATACCGGTATCTTGAAGAACAAAAAAGTTCAATGTAAATGTATGCCACATATGTGGCATATGTGGCGCCCTATATCAGCTACATCAAAGTACATATTAAATTATAATTTCTGATATTTAGTAGTACCCAGTTGTAAATTTTTGTACATAAATGTTGACAAACATGAAAGTTATAGAGAAAAATAAAATTTTAAATTTTCACTTTAACACCCTGTATCTTTCTTAATATCAACATTTTATCAAAGCAACTTGACTTAATCGTAATATTTTAAAGTGTAAAATCTACGGTTTCTTTTTGTACAAATACTTAAGGACCACACTGTATAAGTCAGCAAGTGGCGATATAAATTCTAATTATATTAGACGAATAGCTTTTTTATTTGACAGGAGAATTTCTAAAGTCTCCGATTTTATATTTTTATAGAATTATTCGAACGACAACATTGAATTGCTTATTTATTTACCAGAACGCGCAGTAAAATTTGTTAACTAAATGTTTGTAGATCGAATATTACCGACCTGGAGATAGTAAATTCCGTTCTTATTTTCAGGCCACCCTAAACGCTCTAATAAAAGGAGGCGAAGGAAAAAAATTAGTCGAAGCAATTATTGATTGGATTAAGAATTTAATAAAAACCGTTCAGGAAAAAGGAATGCCTGCAGTTATGAAGCAAGTTGAAGCCAAGTTGAAAGAAATCCTAGCGAGGGCAATTGTAGAAAACAACAAATGGCCAATGAAAGCCCTTACACAAAAATAAAACATATAAGCGATATTTTTAAATATTTTATTACTCAATATATTGTTACTTAATATCTTACTTAAACACTATGTATTTTAGACATATCTACGTTTTCTATGCAGTTAAGACTTCCTAGTGCTTAGTCGTCTATTTAATAAAGAGCCTACTTAACAGATTTTGTTGTTTTAATGTTGTTAATTACTTATCATTTTTTCAACAGTCAAACAAAATATCATAATCTCATAAAAATAGGCAATAATCGTTATTTTTACTTCGGAATCAAATATTCTTCTTCTTCTAAAACTGTCTATTTTTAAGTGATGTTTAAGTGATGTCTATGTCCAGGATCTCTCTTGATCTTATTCTTGCCTTGCTCATAATTTCTTCACCTTTTTTTAGCCTTCGCGGAATAATTATGTTAGTTGTATAGTGTGCATATGAGACCCTTAGCATACATCTTTCATTCTTATTGATAGTTAAAGATAAGTTGCAGGAAACCCTAAGCCGTTAAAAGAGCTTTTGTCTTTTTTAATATTAGTTTCAGTTTCGTAGCTAGAATCCCAGGTATTTTTAATGTTGCAGCCCAGATAGCATATTTTCTCTACTCTTTCTAACGTGTATCGTTTACTTTAATTTGGGTATTTATCTTGATGTTGCTATTTCTGTGTTTTTACCATTAATTTAAGACTATATTTGTAACATATTTCTACAACATTATTCTATCTTCTGATATGTTAAACGTGTATCTTCTTTCTAACGTGTATCGTTTACTTTAATTTGGGTATTTATCTTGATGTTGCTATTTCTGTGTTTTTACCATTAATTTAAGACTATATTTGTAACATATTTCTACAACATTATTCTATCTTCTGATATGTTAAAGGCTTCTCTAAAGATATTTTCAGTGTTGCTTTTTGTTGGAGATATTAGTGAGATTATTTGTATATCCTTACAATCTAAGCCTGATATTTTTAGGATATTGATTAGTTGTCTATGTAGACTTTGTCAACTACCTTCTCGAAATGGATAAAGCATACAAACACCTCACAGTTGATATCCCTGGCTTTCTTAATTAAAACTTATAAACTGACAATTCTTCCCTTGTTCTGAGTCCTACTCTGAATCCAAATTGAAATCCACTTAGCTGTTCTTCAAGTGTATATGCGCAAGCTAACGATAGTAAGAAGTACTTTAAGTACATGACTCATCAAACTAATTAATCTAGGTTCTTCATATTGCCTAGCAGTTGCGTTTTTGGTAAAACCAATAGTGATGGTCGCCAGTTTGTTGGTAAGTGACCAGTCTCATATATGTCGTTAGATAGCTTGGTAGGTGCTGTAATTAGGTATACCTCTAACAGCTTTAAAATTTTACCATGCACTTTATCAAACTCGTGTGATTTGTTCATCTTTCATTTGGGTAGTGACCACAGTTACTTCTTTTATGTTATTTCTGGGCCGTAGCGATAGGCGAAATTTCGTCTTTGACGCCTACAACTGTGCTTATATTGCATTGTTTCCTAAGATTCTGATATGTTTTCTATTAAATGTCATATATAAAGTTATTCGAACGTTAGAACTCATCAAGAAAACTCCTGAAGAAAACCTATGGTTCGACTAAGATAAATGGGGACTGGACATCAGAAGACGGCGTAAAACGTTATAAATTGATTGATTGATTAATTGATTGATTGACTGATTGATTAATTGATTGATTGATTGATTGATTGATTGATTTATTGACGTTAGAACTTCAAGTACAAATTGATCAAAGATCTTTCTATTCAAGCACATGGGAATATATCTAATCTAAAGACTCAGTTTTCCTTAAGCTGCCCATGTTAGTCCTATTAGTATAAACTTGCCTGCGTGCCAAAAATAAAGCGCCACAAAAAACTTTTCTTTTTATGTGAAATCATCAAGACTTTCATATTTAACATAAAAATTAGCTAGAAATCTTTAAATAATTTAGTCAGACTCTCATTCCCAATGCTACAACCTTACGCTTGGCAAGCATTTTGCCGAATATTTCAGCAATCTTAGGCAAGAAATAACAGAATTAAAAAAAAAGTTTTATTTGCTACACTCGTGATATGATTTACTCAGTTAGTATTAAAAAGTGTTGTACCTGGTAAAACCTTTGCATCAAAATTAGGTACAAAATAGAGACTAAAGAAACCGAGATATAACGGGATACAGAAAGTCTACTAATAGTAATTTGGATTTCACATGCACATAGTGTGTCATTGAATATACTGGATTGCTAGAATCTGGATGAGTTATTGAATAAGTACGATAAGCAAACATTGGCTGGTTATCTGCGTTATTGACATAAAAAATAAAATGTTCAAACGGACTTAGATCCGAATTGTATGGTGGCAGTCGTAGAATCTTATACTTGCATATATCGTGACTTTCCATTTGGATTTTGCATATTGTTTTTGGGCTTTTTCAACTAAATATTATATTATGAGTATATTATTATATTATACTTATTATTATAGTATATTATATTATATTATATTATGAATTGAAGATTTTATCTGCTTTCAGTGTAAACGATTTCTCCTACAAATTTTGTATGCATTTTTCCAACTGTGGACAGAATGTCTTCTTTAAAATCAAAGTTTATAACGGACCGACGTAACAAGCCTTTGTATTTCATCCATATTGATCCACTTTTAATTTAAATACCTTTGTTTTTTTTTAATGGAGATAAAAATTTATTATTAGTTGAACTACCATTCTTTATCTCTAAATCTTAGTTTAATTATCCTTTGAAATGATTTTAGCTCACCCCTGCAAACAGTATGTAGTTTTTAATTGAATGAAGTAACGTAACGTAACCTTGAGTTTTAACCTTGTTTAGGCTTACGCCTCTTCAAGGAACGGGGAACTCCTTTTTTTTTTGATGGAGTTGTGGTGGTTACGAGACAAGACGTCACTGATCGAAACGCGGCCCAAGAAGCAGAGAACTGCTAAGGAAGCAGGGGGAAAAGAAGGTGGCTTGTTTTGTGATCGATAAGAATCGTGAACGCACAAGAAGAAATTGGGGTCGCCTAGCATGCTGTGAGGTACTTCAGGGTTACCAGCCATACAGTAGGAACGGCTCTTTATTAGCGTTTTTGGTGCGCAGCTTATCTGCGATAGTATATGGGGAAAGATTCTAAAATATCAAAATACTCATCAGGAAGTTCAGGTCCAGCGTTGTGCAGAAGTTTAGCTGGAGGGAATGGAACTTTTTTTGCGGGATGCCTGGTGAGTATTTGCCCTCTATGTGTGCAAGGTGTCTTTAGTATTTGTTTTGCTCGGTTGTTCGAGCCAGCTATGGTTCTTAGGACATACTTCCTACTGAGGGTTAGGATTCTGTCCTTAATTGGCGTGATGTTGGATATTGCGTGTATGTGGGCTGATGGATACAGCCAGTCCTTTCTCATGCAGAAACGTAGTATTCTACGTTCCGTGGCAGTGATGGCATTAAGTTCGTGGTTCCTCAGGGAGAGGTAAACGCATGCCTTGTATTCGATAATCGGTCGGATAAAAGTCTTGTAGGTGTGCAACAAGGTTCTAGTGGACGTTCCTCCTAGTTTACCGGCCAACACTTTCAGGAGATTGAGCCTCTTTCTCATCCTGTCAAGGGATTCCTGGACGTCAGCCTTCCAGCTGAGAGTTCTCGTAAAACGAACTCCCAGGTAGAGAACTGAGTTCCTGAGAACAAGGTCTTCTCCCAAAAGTGTCACCCGGCCCTGAAGGCCGCGTCCGTAAGGAGGTCTGAATAATATAGCTTGAGTTTTGGATGGGTTTAGAGTAACCCTCCATTTGTTGCACCACCTCACGACTCTGTCAAGATAATCCTGCGATTTCTCGAATACAGACCGTCGCTCTCCTTCCCTGTAGGAGCCTGAGGTAAGGATGGCTGTATCATCAGCAAATAGGAGGAGAGACTCCGATCCTTGCTGTGGGCGGGGGATGTCGCTATTGTAAACTGTGTATAATATTGGAGCAAGTATTGAGCCTTGGGGCACTCCTGCTTGAGGAGTGAATGGAGTGGAGAAGTGTTCTCCTATTTTGATCCGAACCGTCCGGTGGGAGAGATAGGAATTTATTAGTTTAACGAAAGGTGTTGGCAGTCCAGCAAGGTGGAGTTTCTCAATCAGGCCTGCATGCCAGACCTGATCGAAAGCCTTCTGGACATCGAGGAAGATGCCTACGACGTGTTTCCTTTCGTTAATGGATTGTGAAATGAAGGTTGTTGCTTCAACCAATGCATTTTGTGTGGAGTGTCCAACCCTGAATCCGAATTGGTAGTTTGGTATAAGGAAGTGAGCGTCTAGGAATTCTACGAGTCTCTCCTTGAGGATCCTCTCGTAGACTTTACCTAGGGTGCTCAATAAAGAAATTGGTCTATACGATTCAGGGTTGGTTAGGGTTTTCCCTTTTTTAGGGACCATGACGGTGCTGGCCACTTTCCACGGAATAGGAAAGTAGCTCAGCGCAAGAGATGCATTGATTATATTGGTGAGCAACGGGATGATATTCTGTGGAAGATTTTTGAGGCATCTTCTATGGATGCCATCTGGGCCAGGAGACGTGTTTTTTCCTATTTTACACATCTCGCTGACGGTTTCCTCAGTCACTGGTGCCATCATCGGGTGAGGATGTGGTCCATCAAGTGGCTGAGGGTAATAGAATATATCTTCCACTCTCCGTTCGGTGGCTCTTTTGGATCTTTCGCAGAAATTTGGGTTATTGGGTGAAACGAGGGTGGCCTGAAGTGTGTTTTTGAATGCTTCGGCCTTGTCTTGCGGATTATTTAAGATGACATTATTGATTTTGAGATGAGATCGTGGCTGACTTTTTTGTCTTGTTAGGACTTTGAGTTTATTCCAGAATGCAGAACCGTTCCGGTAGTCAAGGTCCGAGGTGACTCGCATCCACTGTCTTTGTTTCAGCTTGTTCACCTCGAGTCTTATGACCGCCGAGAGTCTATTGTATTCTGTTTTGATGATTGGGTCTCTG